GACCGTTATCCCACAAGTCTAGCCGTCTTTTTTGACCTTCTGTTTCATGTGTGGGACCCAGCCTCCTCTCTAACGGTCAATTTTCTCATTATGATGATATGAAAAATATGGCTCAAACAGGGGTTAAATATATCTACTATAAATTTAAATACCAATTAAATCAAAGTGAAATCACAATAAACTTAACATAGTTTTTTTTTTTCATTTTTGTTCACGTTTTTTAGGTTAATGGCGATACAATAACGTTACAATACAAGTCTACCAAACTAGATTTAAGGCCCAAAAAATATAATGATGTACAACAAGACCTCATGATCATCATATCTGAAAAAAGGATACTAATTAAATAAAGAGAATAACTAACCACAATAATAAAATAATTATTTATAATATCTCAACATAAAAATTACACAAGTTTATATTTGTATGATGTTACAAAACACATTTAATTTCAAATTCTTAACTTAATTTGCTCCAAAAAAATTATTGATCTGAAACTTTATTTGTAGCAAATATTATCATCGAACTCCGATTTGATATAATGGACTTCAATTCAACTTTGAAGAGGCATGAAAAATCTAAAAAAGAAGTGTGTGATGCCGGTGGCTCAAGACAGTGTTAGGTATCGACTGAAGTTCATCTAAATTCTGAAGAGGAAAAGGGTTTTTAATAGATTATGTTAGTTTTAAGACTATTAGATATAAATTAGGATTATTGGATAATAATAATATATCTATATTAGAAAATTAGAAATTGACATAAGTACTTACAAATGACAAAACTATTGAATTTTACATATTTGGATGAATTTTCAAAAAAAATTATTTTTCATTTTTTATTTTTATATATTTTTTCGCCGGTCTGATTTGGTTTTAAAATGCAATTAAAATTCTCAAACCTAAACCAAACCATTTTGACCAGTTTGGTTTGGTTCAAAACCATTTCGTTGAACGGGTTTGCGTGGCACCAAACCAACGGTTTCTAAAATACGGTTTCGATTCGATTTTTCGGTTTGACGATTTTTTCTTACAGCCCTATCTATGGGCTCCTCGGACATCGAGTAATACTCTGTCTAGGAGCCACTACCTACCTCATTTTCATCAAATTTAGCAATGGTAACCAACTCCTTACCCGCATCGGACTCCATGTGGAAATTTAGAGATATGAGTGAAGATTACAGAAGCAAAAATTCCGCAAGGAAAATACCTAAACACAAAGAACTTTATGACGACGAAAGGAGGATGCTGGTAGCTGGAAAACTTGGACGGATTTGCAAGGGAATCTAACGAAAAATGCATAAATAAAAGTTTCGAAATGAAGACGGTTAGCCTTTTATACGAAGCCAAAAGGAATCCCAGCCATTGGATCAAGGCCAATTCAATCCTAGCCGTTAATCTCCCATTAAATCTAAGGTATATAATTCAAAATGTTTTCTCCATTGACACCTCAGATCAATGCGTGATGTACACGCATCATCCAGGTACGTCGTCTTCGAGAATAAATAGCTGCAACCATCATTGCGCATTTAATGCTACGCTGTACGTGTATTGGAATCCGTAAAGGTTCGAATGTCTTTTCTTTGTAACACACACAAACATCAAATCATTGACACAGTTATCGAAGACGAATCATTAACAAATGAGCCTTGACAGTTCAGCTTCTTCCTTTCTCGACCTTAAAAACTTCAGCTATAACCACAGTAGCCTCAGCAGTTCAACGATGAACTGCTTTGACTTCAAACAAAAACTTCAGCTATAACCATAGCAGCCTCAATTATTCGACGATGAACTGCTTTGGCTTCAAACAAAAATCAGCAACCAAAACACAAGAGCTTCGGCAACTCAGAATTACTAGCATTTCTCACCATCAAGTAATGTCAATTCTAAACTCCAACCATAATATAAAATTTATATTTGGACTTGAGGGACTATTATTAGAGGTGGTCCTAAAAAATTTTCAGTATTCGCCCAAATAAGGATTAGAAAGTTCTGCTTAAATATCGAAGTCCAACTATAACATAAATGATTATACTTGGATTTGGGGGACTATTTTTACGTCTCATCACAAGTGGCACCACGTGGCCGATGCATTATGGCTCTTGGCCCACTAAGCCAAGGCATGGTAACCGAGGCCCATAGGCCTATACGAATCAACCAAGATCAATGCCTTAACTGAGGCTCAACATTTCCAAGCCAAAGTGTGCTATTATAAGTACTCCCACATGTCCCCATCGTAAGGCTAATGCAATTTCACTTACAAAACTCAATACCAGAATAAATACAAAATATTTCATCTCATTTTTACTCCCTTACGAATACAATTAAGTTTGCGTAAAGTTCATCAATCGTGATTGGTAATTATTGGATAATCGTTTTACAAATGTACCGTCGAATTTCGAACGTTATCGTCCCGTGCCTTTGAGCTGCTCCTACGCAATTTTTCAAACCGTTCTAGACCGTTTGTGTGTCTTAGCGTGTTGGATTTTTGTTTACGTGTGCACGAGTGGGTCCGGTATCTGTTGTCCACGTGACCCTAACCAAAAATAAGGTCAACAGACATTAACTTTCGAACTGTTCCTACTTTACAGCACCGCATGATTTGACCATTGAAATGAAAATTTCTACAATTGACAATATACATAAGCTGTAATGACCAGCATTGCTTGTGTTTACCCTCTCAAATGCCAACTTCAAAACACTACAAAATGGCTATAGTACAATCACGGTATCCTTGAACATGTACTGACCGTTGCATTCTACTAAGCACTGCCATATATATAGTATTGTAAAATAGTTCCATCAATCGTGTGTATCAGTGTTTTAACTACAAAATTCACAAACAATTATATAACAAACTAAACAACATTCATTTTCACGCATCACAAAAACAAATAAACAAAAGAAAAAACATACAATCCAATATAAATTTGTATTTCACATATCCATCAAATATGCACAACAAATTTACAAGATAAAGATAACGAGATCGGACTCAAATGAGTACCTCTTTGATTGCTTGACATCGAATGGATCACAATAAGGTAAAATCTCCGATGATAGGCAACATAGTCAGAAAAAGGAGGAAAAGACGGATTCTAGAGCATTGGTGGTAATTTTCGTAATATTAGTCACATCATAGGGATTATGGATATTGTCAAAAAAATTTAAGGGTATTTTGGCCATTGTCATAAAATTTTAGATATTTTTCGTTAACTTATGAATAGTAGACATTTTGTATCAAGAATTTTTGCCGCAATTTCTTCTATGTATTATTATTATGATGGGGACAGTACAGAGAAGAAATCCGAAGCCGCATACAGAATTGAAAATCGTCCCACAGCATAACATCCACTTGCAATATTTAAATTCGTAATGATGAAGGAGTCTATGGATTGAAAAATATGAGCAGAACTTCAATATTTGATGAGGAATATTCATATGCTTTATAAGCAATTATTGCAATATTCGCACAAACGTATGGAATGTCCAAAATTCATTCAACTAATATGTTGCATGATAATAATAATTATACCAAACTGCACATGGTTTCTTGTCCATTTGTTTTTAGCAGAATAATGGATACTTTGAATTCAATTTTTGGATTTCTCTTTTCAAAATGTCAATCTTATTTAAAAGAGAAGTTTGTAGTCGAAACTCTTATATGTTGGTCATAATATTTTTTTTATGTAATCTGAGTGAAATATTACTATTAATATTTAATATTTAAAGTAGTTTGGACATTTCTTTCTCTTTTTTCTTTCTGAACCTGTTTTTGCTTAAAGATATTTTGTATACACAATATTGATGGGACTGGTTAAAACTTATTAATCGAAAAATCGATAAAAAATTGTTATAACGAGATAGGCTTGTTATGTATTCAATTTCTTCAAAAATTTCTGTCGATTATCAATGAATCAAAAACGGAGTGACATAATAGAATTCTTAAGTCCTATTCTGTAAATGTACAAGAAATAAAATTTATAGTGCTGTACCATGAAGTGAAGGTTAAATTGATCTAGTTCTTTCAATATTCGTAGAGAGATCTCTCTCATACACTTGAGCTAAAAAGATAACGTACCTGTAATTTAAGTTCAAACATGGCATGAACATCATTAATAATAAACATATATATTGACAAAACATTATCTATGAGTGAGACATAACAAAAATGTTTTATCAGTACCTTAACTGGGTGGCACTAGGCAAGTGGTGGGACCAAACCCTGTGACATGCACGGTCACAGCGTCGTTAATCAGAGATTTTATCGCAAGATATTTTTTTGGTCGGTAACAATAGATGTAACTAAATTTGCCAAGGTTAATCCCAAGTTCTTAATGTCACCTCTCGCCCACAAACTCATGAATCAAGATAATTTGCAAGTCGAATACTTGATTACTTCTAGTATTCAAGAATATAATAGGTTAGAGTCTCTCGTACGAGCATGGCCGCCTTCTCATTCCCCTTCCTCACTCCCATTCCCACTTCATAAATATTAGGTCAAGGTAATAAGAAAAATATAAGTGAAAAAAAATGATCTAATAAAACTTTGTTATCTGTTTTATCTAAAATCAAATATTATATGTAATAACCATTGAAGTTTTTCTGACACGTCATCCTCTTTTTTATTGGCCAAGAAGATGTACGTTTTATGTCAAGACTATTAGTCCATATTTGGTTTAATTAAAAATTAATTTTTTAATATATTTTGATAAAAGTTCACGAATTATGCGTTAAAAAAATTGATAAAAATTGTGGATTATTTAAAAAGTGGTTGAAAATGAATTGGAAAAAAAAATAAAATGAAATTGGAGGCCAAACAAAGCTGAGCTGTACAGATAATCTCAACTTTTGCCCCACCATAAACAAATTCTTTAGTTGACAAACCTCTAATGGTAATTTGCCAGATTAGCTGAAAAGGATGGCCATGTCCATGGCGCCCGGTTCGTCCACCTTGGATAGCTAGGCCCCGTAAGATGCCTATATAAAGACCCTAAATAGGGAACTTATGATCAAGTTGTAGACAAGGCCTAATCAGCATATAGTAGTTTGGTAGAGTAATGTGTGAAGCTTCCATGGAAAGTCCCAATTTAGATAAAAAATTGACATACTCTGATGAAGTTCCCGACATGATTTTTGGGTTTTTGGAGGAAGATGAGTTTTCAGTAACTTCTTTGGAGTCTAAAGTAGAAACTATTGATGAAGAGGATGATAAGGACGAGGAGGAGAATACTAGCAATTCCGAGGAAAGTAAGGTTTTCTGGGAATCACAAGAAGAGCTTCTACAAGTAAAAGATTCACTTAAACCTAATAAATACTTCATTTTGTTATTTTTACAACGCGACATATTTTGTCATAGGCTCATAGCTTTCTCTTTCTTAAACATGTCTAGTCGTATTAAACACATCCTTCATAACTAGGGGTTTGTCCAGCATGATTCTAATTTTCACGCGAATGTTTTCATTCCCAGGCAACTTTATATAGAACTACAGCCCTTGAGTCAAAAATTAGGCAGGCGACAAAGGATGCCCTAAGGGAGTTAGATTCCGTTGGTATAAATTGTTCTTGCCGGAAAATGATAGCGGGTGGTTGCCGGAGCTGTAGACAGAAAGAAATCCGTGATCACCTTCAAACTGCAGGGTTTAATTGTGCTATATGTAGGTCCAAGTGGAGTAGTTCGGTTGAAATCCCAGCAGGTAACTAAAATCATATCCATTTTAGCGTCGCTCGAGTCTAGCCCAGTCGAGTACTAAAAATTAAACAGAATCAAAGTTAAGCAAGTTTTATTATATTTTCCAGGTGAACACACCTATCTGGAAGTGCAAAATCCTTCCAACAAAGGAGAAGTGAAAGTGATTATCGAATTGAACTTTCGCGCAGAATTTCAGATAAGTCGATCCAGCGAAGAATACAATCGGCTAATCAAAAGATTGCCAGAGATATTTGTTGGAAAAATTGAAAGGCTTCGAAGTCTAATAAAGATACTGTGTTCGGCATCCAAGAAATGCATGAAGGAGAGAAAGATGCATATGGCACCATGGAGGAAGCACAAGTACATGCAAGCTAAGTGGCTTGGCACGCCTCAGGCCGCGGCACCACCAACCCTGACCATGGAGCAAGGCCTACAGCGGCTGCGAAAGCCAAGGGCTTCCATGCTTACCTTCGATTTGTTTGATAACTTTGCAGGCCTGCATTCTAATGCAATCAGAGTCATCTGATAATGATATTGGGAATTAATGAGAGTTTTGCGATTTTAGTAGTAACCATGAACAGATCTATGTTGTAATTAGGGTCTGCTCAAGTTTTGCAAAATACTGTTTACTTCTATCGTTTTTAATTTTAGTTATAAAATTACTAGTGAGTATACATGGATGTTCTTACTAGATCAAGCTTCTTTAGCACCCTTATCATCTACACGTCGAACGTGTTATTAATAAAAAAAACATATTCGACACTAGTTAATATAAATTAGTGTGAAATGAAAAAACTTTAATTAATTTATTTTATAAAGGGTTTAGACATATACATCAATAATCAATAAATTCATTGTGTCAACACAACAAGCTGAGTTTGTTTGATTGTGTCTGCACCATTAATTTCTTAGGGACTTTGGTCTTCCTTAAGTTGATTCTTAACCTTTAAAGTCCATGTTTGGCCAAGATAAAATTCACTTGTAATTAAGTTTATTTATTATAAGTAAATAAATAGATTCTTTTTGGAAAGCTGCATCTTGTCTACTTCAGTACTTCAAAAATAATAATCCATTGTCTTGAGGGCATTTACTGTGTTCACTTTTGTAAAATAAGTCAATGGCGGTCTACTTCAATTTCAATTAGATTTTTTACAAAGTTTTTAAACTGTTTATGGAACAACAGGTGCATATTATTGTACATGTTTCATTATTACTCATTTTATAAAAATGATTTTTTTTTACTCCAATCTCTCAATATTAGAGACTAAAATTTTATACAATGTAAGTTATGTTAGTAATATACATTAACGTCTGGTAATTAATAGTAGTAGATTTATTCTACATATAATAGATATAAGTTTAACATGATTGCTCTTCCAAATTTGTAATTGTATGGTATGATGACTATTAAATATTAATATGCAGTATTATCAAATTTTGTCAATATACAGATCAAATTCAGATTGTTCGATTATTTTTAGCTCCAAGTATAAATCTGTACATTTTCATTGATGGGATGTTAGGTTGTATACTGTTCGGTTTGTTACCTAAATTAGGGTAGATTTTTTTTTTGGAAATAAATTCTTTCCTTATTTTCATGTGGGAAAATTTGTTTCATTATATTTCACGTGATTTTAATGGAAATATATTATTTTCTTATTCCATATTATTTTCATCTTCATGTTATTTCATGTACCTATAAATAATGGTCTTCTCTTTCAATTTTGTTCAAGTAAGAATTGTTGAGTTCTTATATTTCTCTCCATATTGTCGATTAATAAAACGTCGTACTTCTACGATTAACGCTTTTTGTTAATCTCTTTACTTTTAAATCTTGTTTCCTGTTGCGATTTTCATTACTTATCGTGTCATTAATCTCATTCACTACAATCCTTCCGGGTCCAACACATATTCCCTTTATGCTTTGTTTTCATTTCTAATGGTGTTCAAAAGTCTTCTAGATTAATAGACAACTTCTAAATTTTAAGACAACATATCAAATTAAAATGTATTCTTCCATTTATTTATTCACACTTAAACCTATTTTATATAAACGTTCTTAACTATTTTATTTAAGAATAATGCTATTTGCAGTCGCTCACTGCGGCAGTTACTATACGTGGCACACACATGACAGGTTGTTATTTGATGCATTAATAAATAAAAAAACTATCACATTGATATATCAAATAATCACCTGACATGTGTATGCCACGTAGGACGACTACCACAGTGAGCGACTACGAATAACATTACTCTTTATTTAAACATTGTAGACCGTGAGTCGCTATGAAAAAAAAAATCACTAAAAAAATAGTTCTTTGATCTTATCCATTTATTGTTCCTGGCCTATAACAATCATTTTGATTAAATAATCAAACACAATAAAATAATAAAAAGGTTTTTTATGTGAGTGTAATCTGAAGTGTTGTGGCATTTATACTGGCTAAGCTCATCCTACGACCAGACGGGTAAAAAGATAAAAGAGCTGAACTTTTTAAATAAAAATTATAGATCAAATGGGAATGGGTTAAAAAGTGTAAAGAAATTGATAAAAATGTCGATTTGTTTGTAATTTTTTTGTCGCAAGATGGTATAAAAAAGTAATATTAAGTATACGAATATGTTAATAGTTATATTTATAATACCCATTATTGTCGATGGAAGTCGACATCCTATAGTATTTTAATAGCAATTATTATGTTTATCACCACAGATTTTTTCACTGGTAAAAGGCTGTAGTCCAGCAAAGACACCAACCTTAAATCCAACCAAGTTATTCGTATATTTTATGTTACAGTCATAGTATTTTTTTTCCTCGTACAACTTGTAGAGTATCATCAACTTCCAAGTATTTTTGTTATAAACATCCGACTATAAAGGACTATGGATAAAAGGGACAAAAGATTTACTAGGATACATCAATTATTTAAAAGCATCATTTTACAATAAACAGATCAAATAATAATTGTCAGCAATGCTGTTTGAATCTGACATCAGGCACCACTGACAATTTCATTTCTTTTTCTATCTTTCTGGGTTTAGGGTTTAAGGTTCTCCCTTCGACGTTTATACTCGATAAATCCCTTGTAGGGCCTTTGTCAAAATTTAACAAGTCACAGTAACTTCAATACATAGTTACTTTCATCAATGAATTCATTTCCTAAAGCATCAGTACTTAATCCATTTTCCTTATCAGCCTCCTTAGTGTTATACTTCATTATGAAGATCAACCAAGTCTCCACAGATTTTTTGTGGCGTTTATTTTAAGTATTAATCCTTTTCGGAGAAGGAAACACATTCCTTCTAACCATCAAGTCAGAGATAACCCTTGCCAATAACTCAACACTTGCATTTCCGATCCTTAGACCTCCGCCATTAGTAGGCACTTGCATTCGTTCCCATTGATCGGATTGTAAAAATGAAAACCTTCTCCATGTTACCGAATCGTGATGTTTAGCGGTCATTCAAGCCGCTATTCCAAGAGAATTAGATCCAATGTCCCGTTAAGCAATTTTACTTCCTCAGATGGGTCATATTTATGACATATCAAAACTTGTCCAAACAGACTGCAATAGCAAATTGAATAAAACAAGACCATTTAGATTTACATGATTCAGTTATGCATGCCAATTTCTAGAAAACTCGACATCTTAAACAATTCAAAACAATTAATTTTGTTCATATGCATTTCTCTGAACAATTCTTTATCAGTTTGGAAATAGATTAATCAAGCATAGGAAGCTCATATCTTTTGTACTGATGGTTTTGATTGTGAATATGCACGAGGCTCCCTCCTTATCACAATTATCAATTGGGCACCAATTTAATATAAATTGCAGCAAGAATCATTTTGGACTTCATTGTACTGCTTCAACTTGACACAATCTTCGGCGAAAACTTGGAGAGAAGACAAAGGTTGCTTCATTGCAAAATTGCAAAATAAATAAATAATTTGTTACTTCTGCGAAACAGAATCTGATGAAGTTAGACGAACAACACCGCCCATACTTAAGTCGAACCCTAACTAAAACCTGCAGTAAGTTTCAAGTCGCGTGTTGACGTCTTCTTAAGATGATATTTGACCCCACTACCTTTGATGAAGTGGGGAAAGTAAAATGCATCCAGGACACAATGGAATATTATTTACGGTCGTACATTAATGGAAATAACCCAAACACCAGGAGAGAAGAAGCCACCATTTGAGACATCATTATATAGGCTTCAAGACAAGCCATTATTTCAAATTTTAAAGAAAATGTAGGATTTTTTAATTTTTTATTTTTCAATGAAAAAGGTATCGAACAAGAAAGGATGCTACTTATAGAAGGGATATAACTCTTAAGAATAAGTGTTCTAAAAGGACAATTATATCATAAGTATTCTAGAACAAAAGACATGAATGTTAAATTTTAAGACAGCCTGTTTTCTTTATTCACATAAACCTATTTTATAAAAACTTTGATTACTTCTAGTTGCTATAATCGATATTAAGCTTCAAAGAGGAAATAACAGAGAAATATGTAAGAAAACACTAAAGATAGATCTTATCCATATGTTATTTCTGGCCATAGTAAAATAATCAAAAGTTTATTTTATTTATTTATTTATTTTTATTTTTTATTTTATTTTTTGTGAGTGTACTATGAAGTATTGTGGCACTTATACTAGTTAAAGCTTATCATATCAAACAGATAAAAAGATAAAAGAGATGAACTTTTCCAAATGAAAATTATAGAAAATAAGAATGGGGTTGAAAAAAGAAAAGTGATAAAGATGTCAAGTTCTTTTTAATTCTTTTACCATAAAATGGTACTAAAAATTAATAATTAGAGTACATTATTATACTTCAAGAAAGTGCCTATCTCTTTGTAACTTTACAGTGATATCACTAATGGAGATCGTCGTGTCATCCAAAAAATTTAAAATCAAACGTATTTTGTAAGTAGGTAAATTGATCTTTCGCAAGATTGAGACGTGAAAATATCATAGTACAAAAAATTTAAATTGCAATTAAATTTCTTAGAATGAAGTTGAAGTTTTACGAATATGTTAGTAGTTATATTTATAATATCACTATTGTCAATTGAAGTCGACATCTTACTATATTTTAATTGCAATTGTTATATCTATCCGTTA